CTCGACGCCGAGGCTCAAAACAGGTCGACGGATCCGGCGGAGCCCTTGGAAATCATCTGGGCGCCGTTGAAAGAGTGTCCGGAAGGCATGAGGAGGATCAACGGTGTCTGCAGAAACACTTACAACACCGGCCGGCGTTCGAGCTATGTAAGTACGCTAAATTCCCTTTGAGTTCATTGTCAGGGAAAAAATGAACCCGGTGATCATATAATTTACAAAAATCTGAACATTCTATTAAACAATTGCTCTATTATGAATATCTTTGGTCGCATCTACGAACGAATAATTGATCAAAGAAAAGTTTTTAAAAGTCATAATTTTAAAATAAATATGTAAATAAATGACTTTACAACACAAAGGTCATACTCATTTATGATAAAAGCATTATTTATACAGGTAGTTTAAAAATAGTCATATTTCATAAGCTAACATACATTCATTTATAATATTATTTCATTAATTAATATATATTTCTATAAACCCTTGAGAAAAAAATGTTCACAATAATGGAATTAGCTCATGCAAGGTTTAACAAATTAACGCAGTACGCTGTTTGTTCACAAGATAATAAAAAATGCCAAACATTTGGAAAAGTTCGTATTTCTGCTGATAACGTAAACTAAAAGGCGACATTTACTGTGGCTGTTGGTAAAAGACGTAAGCTTTTTCTTACGGCCAACTTTTGGCCGTACTATGTATATAAAAATTGTATAATTGTTTCAAATTTAGTCGTAACCCGTAAAACTATTACCAACTTAAATACTTCCATTTCTGTTAGAAATCTGTACAAAAAACTAAATATACGCTTGCATCTTTCCATAAAAGGTTGACCTAGAATATACACAATAATGATATTTAAACAATCAATAATTATGTTGAATATTGACTCTTGATCTCTTTACTGGGTTCGTCTATTCTCGCTAGTTAACGTTTGACTCAAACATTTTTTCATATCTTCAGTGAGAAAATTTCCTCTAGTATGAAGGACCTACACCGACATATGAAAAGTTCCTCACTGAAGATGTGTAAACCTGGGTCCATATTTATAAAGATTTACGCCGAATACTTTCGCCACAAATATTTTCGGCAGAAAGTGAAAAATATTTTCGCACAAATATTTACGCCGTGCGGCGTGTGTCTTCGCTCAAGTTGCGTGTTGTTTTTGGAAGGGTAATCTGTTTTGCTATCTATGCTTATGCTTTTACTACATCTCCACATTTCGAAGGACACAGCAACAACTCTGGGCTTGTTAATGAACTACACAACACACACTGAGGAACTGAATGTAGGACGGGAGGACAATATTCGTTCTTCCTCATCGAGAGCCTTTATGCGGCGCAAATCCTTTGATGTTCGTTAAAAAACGGATTAGATCCCTGACTATGTGCTTTGAATGTAGGATAAATTATTGCGTGTGATGTCACGTCCACACTCACAGAAATTCCCGCACATGCACAAAACTTTACGTTGTATGTCGTATTCGGCGTAAATTTTTGGAACCATTTGGCGATGTGGAACCAGCGTTAAACGTAAACGAGCGAGAGTAGTCGGACCCAGTAAAGATAACAAGTGTCGATAGTGCGATATCTGCTCTGGCTTTCGGAAAGAGGCGTAAGCAAGCATTTGTTTACTGCTCAAAAACAACAACCACCACTTTGGGCATGATTTATCAAAATGATGCATTAGAACACGTGAATTAAATAAAATCTTTCATACAGAAAAAAATGCGAAATAGTTCTAAAACTTGGCCTTTATGTTGCTAGCTTAAGGAAATAATGTAGTATTTATTTTTTTGCCATTTTTCAAATGTCGTGTAATCGGATTGGATTCTCGATTACACCGATTACACGACATTTGAAAAATGGCAAAAAGGAGGGAAAATTCAAAAGGTGGGGCTGAGATGGGAAGTTACTGTCCGAGTGAATCGAGGTCACGATAGCTCAAGTGGTAGAACAGCGGCGTTTCAAGCCGAAGGTCGTGGGTTCGAATCCCGCTCGTGCCATTGACTTTTTTATCTTTACTAACAACCTTAATTAATTGTAATATATTAATTGGTCAAGCGGACCACGAAATTAGTGAATTTAAGGAATTATTATTAATATGATTTTCTGATAAAAACGTAGGGATAGTTTATGACCAAAGTGTGAGCAATTAATCTTGAAATTCAAACTCCAGGTGATACAAAATTGCAAGAGACTGTAAGAATGTCCTGGGTGTTTTCTGTGTGATGAACCTGTAATTTGATTGTTTCCTAACATTTGGTCTGCTTATCTTCTGTTTTGGTCGGCTTCTTGCCATTTTCATTGCTTGTTCTTCTTCCTATCTAATTCTAATATGCACATAGATCCTTCTCTGAAAATGGCAAGAAGTCTGACGCGCCTGACCTACCAAAGCGAGGATATTAGCAAATATGTTTGGAAACAACCGAACTACGACTATCATTTTGTAATTTCCTTCGACCTCTACATGCCTATCTGAGGAATTCTTTGTGTTTTGGACAAAATATTTGTTAACGTTTTGTTTAAGTTTGTACGCGTTTTCGTCCGTTCGTCCTTTTTGCAGGTTCTGTGGAAATTGATGTAGGTGACTTTAACTATTACTTTATTAATTAACAGGTTTAATTAACTAATAAATTCTATAACTTGGTGCCTTCTGTAAATGAGAAATTATAAGCTTGGTGTTCCGTGAAGAAAATAATCAATAAATACAGCGAATCGCAGGCAGTTAAGCTAGATATCAACGCACACTTTTTGTGATAACAAAATCCAGACACGAGATAAAGTACATGTTTTCTTTTTGTATTTACGACTGCTTTTGGTATGGGCCAACCTTCTCAAATATTATAGCAAAGAAGAAACAACTATTTTTCAGTTGTTACCGTCAATTTCTTGTATATATTATTCAGTTATCCGGAAAATAAAGTAGGTTTATAGTTATCAAATAAAAGCAATTAATTAAACCCTTCATCGCACTCAATACACTTCACCCAACGTGACCGGAACTTCTCTTTGCCCTCTGAATAGAATTTTGAGTCTTTATTATTAACAACTTCTGTAAATTTCTAACGACTTTTGATTAATAAATTTTTTATGTTGTCCAGGTGTCTGAAAAATGGTAGTCGGTAAGCGAGAGGTCTGGAGAATAGGTTTGTAGAACCTCGTAACCAAGATCTAACAGTTTTCTTTTTGTAACATGTGAGACATGGGGCCAGGCGTTGTCGTGAAAATCTTTTCCGATTGACTAAAGATGACTTCAATAATACCAAATTCTGGTCCGTTGCTTCAATTTAAGTGCAATACATTTCGGCAGTGATTGTTTCTCTAGAAGCTGTAGTAAATCAGTCCAAATGAAGCCCACCAATGAGTCATCATCACCTTTTTTATGAGTTGGGGCTTCGGAAAATCTGTTGCTGTTTCTAATTTGTCGAGCCACTATCCAGAACGTCTAGTGTTATCGTGGAGAATCCACTTTTTATCACAAGTGACAATGCTATCTAGAAAAGGTTCGTTTCTGTTTCGGCAAAGAAGTGTTCGCCAAACATCATAATAATGATTTCTTTGGCGGTCGTTTAATGCATGAGGAACTTTCGAGCTTTATCACATCCCAGTGGTTTTCACCTGGTCAGCGATTGTCGATTTGCTAACTGAAAGATTCACTGCAAGTTCTCGAAAAGTTGTTTTGAGATCTTCTTCGACCAAAGTTGGAGGCTTTAGAAAAAAATGGTTCTGTTTCTCCTTTGTCGAGCCACTATCCAGATCGTCGCTGTTATCGTCGAGGATCAACTTTTCATCACAAGTAACAATTCTATCTAGAAAAGGTTCGTTTCTGTTTTGGCAAAGAAGTGTTCAACAAACATCATAATTACAATTAATTAAGGTTTACTTGAGATAAAATATAATTAATTGTAATATATTAATTGGTCAAGCGGACCACGAAATTAGTGAATTTAACATCATTATAATGATTTCTTTGGCGGTCGTTTAATGCACGAGGATCTTTCGAGCTTTATCACCTTTCCAATGGTCTTCACCTGGTCAGCGATGGTCGATATGCTAACTGAAAGATTCACTGCAAGTTCTTGAACAGTAGTTTTGAGATTTTCTTCGGCCAAAGCTCTCAGAACATCGAGGGAAGAAATCCTTCTACGTTCTTCTTTGTCTTCAAGGCTAAAATCTCACTCTCGAAATTTTTAAACCATCTTTGAACGGTGCTCTCACTCATACTGCCATGTCAACATATTTCATTAATGTGTCCAACCATTTTAGCAGCGTTCCGACCGAGTTTAAACTCGTGAAACGAAATTACCCGAACATCACGCGTTGACATCTTAGTGAAGACTAAATTATTCCCAAGTAACGAAATACTACTGAGGTAAACAAACATTTTTGTTTGGAAAAGGATTAAAAAATGTTGACATTCGTTCAAAAGAATAATCGAACAAACGTAAACAATTTATTATATAGAGGAGTAATTGAAAGAAAACACGAAAACCTGCATTATTTTCCGGACAACCCAATATTTGGTGGTCAATTCCCCTGCTATAGCTAAAAATTTAAAAATGATTCTACCCCCCTAGTATGGCTCATATATACATACAATATCGTTCATAACTGTTACAAAATATACACATATACTTTTCCTTAATTACAGTCAGATGCTTTGGAATTTTCCACGAAACGTCTAATATTTTATGTAATATAAACTAAATTAACACTCTTTGAGAGAAGTTGTTCCTTCTTTCCTACAAGTCACCAGATAAAGTTTTGTTTGTTAGAGGGAAAAATTAAGTAATTTTGTAATATTATCTGTTGATGTTATAGAAATTTTGAGGAAAAGAAAAAATGCTTGACTAAATGGAAATGCCCAAATGTTTGCCGACTGAGCTAATTGTAAGCTATATTTAGTAAGAGTGGTTGAAAGAGACGCGATTGATAAATCGGCGTTGCATAACAATTGATTCTTCGAGATTTTTGGCCCGCGACCACGTCGATGTTTATCTCTCCTCGATGAAAATTACGTGCGAGATACCCGCCGTCGGTTTTGTTGATATCGTCGTTTATCGCAGTAGGCATTTTATGATCGCACTTTGGTGGGGGATTGCGAGCCCTGTTATCGTCACGGAGGTCTGACCTTAATAAAATCCCATCTCAGTTATTCCGGCAAACAGTAATGGTCGGTCCATCATGTCAATTATTTTCTTAGCTCTGCTGATCTTACTTAACTTGCACGCGCGCTTCGGCCCGGCAGACGGCGAGGTGAAGATCAGAAACACGTACGCCTACAACGTCATCTCCACTACAGTTCCCACATTCTTGGGCAGTATTTTTCAATTTCCTGACCGGCCTTGCCCGCCCGGCTACAGGAGAGCTGCAGGAAAATGCAGGAGAATCTATGGTAAAATGAACAGTTATTGAATATTATCATTTTCAAGTGTTTCGAAAGGAAAGTACAAAGGAAGGGGGTTGAGACGTAAAACAACATTTTTAATTCATCTGCCATCCAACTGTTTGCCTGATCATAATATCACATGAAGCATAACAGCCCATTATACTATACAGAGATCATCACCAAATTCAGGCTTCTTTTATATTATCCGAAAACCTAATATTTCAAATTTAACAAAAATCAATCTCTAAACGCATGTCAAACTCACAGCTCAGCTCTCTGCAAAACTGGCAGTCAGCTCTCTGCCATATATATATATATTGTATTTTTTATATTATATATATTTTTTAATAAAAATAGCATTTTATTTTAAAAAATATATACAGTTTTTATGTTTATATAACATTCTTCCATTGTGACAAAAGATCGGACGAATAGACAAAGCACTCCCTAGATTCGCAATTGATATAAGGCAAATTAAAGTTTTTAACAATTAACTTTCTTTGTTAGTAAGCTCATTTATTTTGTATTTGTCCCAGGAGAATTCTCAAACTTCAGATTACTATTATGTTCATTGATAAAACCGACCATTTTATGCAATCACATTTTATTGTTTGTTAAACAAAGTTTTTGTTGAATCAGTTTTACAAATAAATTCACGTGGTGGTGAAATTCGAGAGCAGGTCAACAAGCACCCCATCCATCCGTTTTTATAATTTTAAAAGATTTTTTTAAACGCGACTCTGCTTTCATACTTTATTTAATGATAGGCTGGTCCGTTCTTTAATAAGCCAGTAACTAAAATTTGTCATAATGATTAATCCTTTAAGTGGAAGATGTTCTTTTTATCTTGTTTCCCTTTACAGCCAAGGACATTTTTATATTCGTAAATCATAATATGGTAGTTCCTTACTGATAAATCATTTTATGAAATTACTTCTCAAATTTGAACCTCTTTGAAATAACTTACTTGCTTTAAGCTAAATCCCCTCTAAAAGGTAAACTGACAAGTTCTTTTCCAACTGTTTCTTTCAATTGACCTATAATAAAGATAATTTATTTTTTTTTAAATAGTTTCTAGCATTAATACACAAAATATCAGTTTTTCAAAAAAAAAACTCAAAAACCGGACACGGTATTTATTTGTTTATTTGCCATAATAACTAGGTGTAAAGATTGATTTAAAACGTAAACACAACAATAATCACTTCTTGTTTATAGAGTGTTACTAATTATTTTACACTCTTTAGATTAAAAATAAAGTAAATTTTATTAAAATATTAATCCATTATATTTAGTGGTCTATTGACCAAATTACTTCTTACAATTACTTAATCTTTTTATGTAAGGTTTCGATCGAAATGAAAAAATCAGTGTGACGGGCGGGATTCGAACCCACGACCTTCGGCTAAATACGCCGCTGCTCTAACCACTTAAGCTATCCTGACTTCGATCCACTTGGACACCAATAAGTAAAACGAAGTATAGCTTCACTAACAGCTCCCCGTGGCCACTTCATATGTCGCCCAGAATCGAATCCTGATTACACGACATTTGAATAATGGCAAAAGGATGGCAAATTCGAAAGGTTGTAGGTTGGAATGGGAAGTTAGTGTCCGAGTTGATCGAAGTCACGATAGCTCAAGTGGTAGAGCAGCGGCGTATTTAGGCGAAGGTCGTGGGTTCGAATCCCACTCGTGACACTGATTTTTTCATTTCAACCAATACCTTAACTAAAACGATTAAGTAATTGATAAAATATTAATATTTCAAAGCATGGTTTTAAGTCGAGATCTCGCCCGTGTAGATGCTTTGCCCAACGATATCAGTTACATTGGGCCAAGTAATGGGTGTGCCGCGCTGTACCATCCACCATGGTTTACGGCGGTTTAGGGCCGCCTGAAACCTCGATCAAAGAGAAGTTAATGGTCGATGTACGACGGCTAGAGACGATCGTTTCTCTTAAAAATTCGTACTGACAGGACGGAAAATGTAGCAAAGGGATTAAGAAGCGGATAAGGCCCTACTGGGGCGTATCCTTGCCATCATAGCGATATAACCGTCATTTAACGGTCTCCTTGATAGGTATTCAACTTCAAATAACCCTAATGTAAGGATGAGCTCTAAAACAGTCATGAGAAGGCTTCGTGAGAATAGCCTAGTCTCTAGACGTACCGCATCAGGTTCCCTACTACTGGAGAAGCATAGAGTAAAAAGGCGCCTTTTCGCAATCAGCAACTTGATCAATGGGGGGGTCTGTTCTCTTCACAGATGGGTACCGATTTAGTTTGTGGCAATTTTGACTGGATCCATGCGTGGAGATGACATCGAAAACGCTTTGCTGCATGTGCCATATCAAGCCATTGCTTTTTCAAAGACAGTTATGGTATGGGGAAGTATCAACTTCAGTGGCCGTACCGAAATGATTGTCATAATGGAACATTGACTGCACTAAGGTACATTAAGGACTTCTGGAAAATGTGGCCCCATTATTGGGAAAAATATAGTGTTAATGTACGATAATGCTCGACTGCAAGTAGCTCGAGTTGTCACCCATTATTTGGAGGATACAGGGATTACCTCTCACAGTGGATTGGCCAGCGCGTTCTCTTGACATGAGTCCGATAGATTGTGGGATAGGATAGGGATAAAACAGGCGGACACAAGACCTTCTGCACCTCGACCTGTATAGATCTATTGTGTTCCCCTGTTTTATATGACTCAATGGCCAGCTTCATGTAACCCTTATGGGAATCGTTCGCCACCTCCAACAAACGTTGAAAAGTTGAAGAATTCTTTTACACAAGACAAAATCAGGTCGCTTTTTACTCAATGCTTAGCAGGCTTGAGGCGCTCTGCTAGGTTATTAAGAGCCAAACGAAGTAATTAATTGTTAGTTAAATTTTAATATATCACTAAATAATTTCCTTGTGTTTTGGTGAACTTTCTTTCAAATCATGATAATTTAAAAAATTATAAAATTAAAACTCATGAGTTTTCTATCTCGTTTAATTTAGTTTACATCAAAATAAGTATGGTGTAATGAATATAACGATGAAAAAACATTAAGTTGGAAATAGATTTTTTTTCCTTTGAGTGTAAATATATTTGTGTAAATGACTCAAACTCAACAGTTGTCGAAATACTTATACAATAAAGTACAACGAGAACAAGCGGACTGTGATGACCAGGGACAATCTAGCAATAAAATAATAGTTTTACATTATATACAACAAACCAAAACACAAGTATTTTTAACAATTAATTTTAAACAATTTTGCTTGCAAAAAACACAGATTTTAATTGGATCAAAAATAAAATTAAGGAAGGACATTTAAGATATTTGGCCAACTACAAATGGGTCAACTTTTCTCGTAGTTTTTTATGTATTTTCCATTAATAATATAGATGAAGCATGTAGAGCCTGCTTAAAATATAAAAAATCTGCACTTCTAGTTTGGCTTAATTATCAAAAACTTTGGAATTTTGAAAGAAACTTTAACCAACGATTATACTACCTTCGAGCTATGTATTTTTTTTTTTCAAGTTGTCATCGGGCGCATATCGTGATTTTCATTTTGCTGGTTCGACAATATTGTTGTTGACCATCAAATCTTGTTTTGTTATCTCTGCTTCTGCGGTTCCCCTCACTGAATCTAATTGTGGTCTTTCAAAGCCTTTTCGTCAATGTTAATTATGCGGTTTGGATTTAATATTTGTGTTTGCGAGAGTTGTGCCGTCTGTTTTTGTTTATACGATTCGAAACGTTCAAGGATATTGATTTGGGTTTTTTCTGCACGTTGTGTAACACTCCGATACATGAGAGGGCCCATGTTTTTTGTTTTTTTAAATCCAATGCAAATCATAATTAAAAGTTAAGACGGGTGTGAACACGTAAAACGATAGGACGTTTCAGACTTCAGGTTTGTCCTCACGCTCGACAATGCAACTTGAACAATAATACGATTGATGATGAAGATGGTGAATGCGGGGTTTGTGCTTCGTAGACACTGCAGCCTTCTGGCTTATTGTACCTTCCTAGTTCCCTATTTCAGTACAATTGACTCAATTCTTCTTCTCAGAAGTATTAGATCATTGACTGGCACTGCTACAGTTTCATTCCCTAGATTTTTTCTGTACGTTAGGTTATATCTGTAGTGAGCCGTTGCTTCGCATTAGAAGATGATATGGGTGGCTGTTTCTTCCTCACCATTATAAAATCTGCAAATGGGATCTTCGTTGAATATGCCCATGGTATGTGAATGTTTTCTCAGATGCCAGTGACCGGTCAATACAACTATTACTCATCCGAATTTGGACCCCTCCAATTGCCGCAGTGAGTTTGTCAGTCTTGGTGAGGGATTTTTTTAACCATAAGTTTACTGTGTCTAGTGGACCCCTAGAGTTTATCCATTTTTCTTTTTGCCTTTTTTATCCATTCAGTAATGGAAGATTGTGTGTTTGTTGTTATTATCCCAAAAATATGTTCCGGGCCTGAACAGGGCTTGAAGATCCTCTACTGACCAGCATGTCAGCTTTTTCATGATCCAAAATTCCCTTGTGTTTGGTACCCATGGTATCATCACGTTGATGTATTTCCCCCGGTTTTGGAGATTCTGGAAGAATTTACTAACGAATTTTGATGTGTTTTTTAAATACTAATGCTTTAATGGCTGTTTGGCTATCCATCGTTATGAGGATTTTTTTGCCAGTGTAACCACTTTTAAGATTTTCTAGGGCACAAGCACTGATGGCATGTATTTCTGTTTGAAAGGACGAAGTGTACTTCCCTACTGAGTTGTATTGCACATAAAAAATGTTTGTCTAAAAAATGCCCGATCTTTCGTTTGTTTTAGAGCCATCTATGTATCTGTTGCTCTCCTGAGTTCTTCCACTCCTTGATATTCTGTTGAGATTGTATAGAATTTCAATTAATTAATCTTTATGTATTATGGATATTGGATGAGATAAAAAAAGAGAAGAAAAATAACTTAAGTCACGATAGCTCA